GGTCTACACCTTCCGCGAATACTCTACACAATTATAACCCTCAATAAACGTAGAGGATACACTGTAGATTGCTCCTTGCGTCCAGTAGTAGTGTGTGAAACGTAAAATTAGAGAAGCGCACGATGCGTCGCCTAGCTACGTTTGTAGCACAGATTGTTTAAGAGCTTCGCTCTAAGGAGAAAAATTAAACCATTATCGATTACACACGTATACGAAGCACTCAGTGATTATAACATGGATCAAAAGAATGATGTATTAAATAGTAATTCGTAGGCAGTATTGGTACATTTACTCGTACACTTGGCACAACATTGAGAAGATTTATCTAGCATTTAAGATAATCCAAATAAACTTCACCGCACACACAAACTTAGTGGCATGTTGAATAAAACGTTTACTTGTTTATTATTCGTCAGCGAAGTAAGAGGTAGACAGACGCCTTATATAATTCGAGTTTAGCTAAGCGGAACTAGGTTTATATGATTTTTATCTTATCTTACTTAGTTGTTATTATTACGTCTATTTAAACATTATGACGCATCCGGAAACGCTAACATTTGTAGTTCCGCCTAGGCAAACGCTTCAACATGTGCAATCCAGCGTACGGGTCCAAAAATTCACTTCGACAAAGCTTCGAGAATTATCGTATAGCGGACCCTGGGATTAGGCAATCCTTTGTAGCTGTTTATTCCAGTCTTTGCTTCAAGTTGATACAGCGCGATCACTTTTCGTCATCAGTAGCAATTCTATGTAGAACCCTGCTATTCTGGCTGCGTGTTGCTTGATGCTAGGCAAGATGTTGAGAGATAATAAGAAACCGTACTTCTTTATGCTTCTCTCTCGTATTTACGAGGCATCAAAGTTCATCGTTTTGAGGTAAATCCCATAGCTTCACGACTCCTGCCTATAGTCGAATGACTTTAGTTTATATTTCTGCCTATTTCGTGAGTTGTTTCCCAGCCTTCCTCTTTTTAACGTATTTTTAGAAAGTTTTCGTCGACCTCGGATGGCCATCCCAAAAAGGTGTATTCTTCAGCCTCAATTTTCCGCCATTACTCAATTGTCAGCAGCTTTTCATGCATGGAGTTATCACTTTTCATGGCGTAAATATCCCAAACTGCTTCAGCAGCTGTGGAAGAAAGTGTCGAAGGTACCACAAACACACTTCTTTGGGAACCTCCTATATGATGAGTATGAGAAGTAAACAAACAACAGTTTCATACGTGTAGAAAGTGAGGCAAAAATATTTGGCGATTTTGAAAAACATATCTCAAAAGCTAGAAATTTTTGTTTTGCATCTTTTGCTTAAGTAGCAGAAAATATGCAGACTAATATAACGTATAATTTCATGGCCGACAATAACTTGTGCATTAATTAATTAAAGTTGATTCATTATATTCTAAGCACACAACATTATAATATTATATCTGGCAGCATTGTACAGAAATAAAAAAATACAGATGTACTACAGAGGTGGTATTGCTTATTATGACGATAAGCTAGCTAGCTAGCTAGCTAGCTATCTATAGGTATTTTATTTTACGTGAAGCAGATGGGAGTGAATAAGTTAAAAAAGGTACAGCATACTAATAAATGTGTACTTTAGTGGTTCGATAGTATATGTCCTGAGGTCGCACGGGGTGCTCATTTCATGCCCCCTATGATGATATGCTGACACACATATAACACACCTGTAAATACTCGAAACAGCATCCTCCGCAGCTGCAGATAGACCATATATAAAGTGGCCAAGTTTTTTTTCATAAGTTAAAGTTCGTATATAGATGCGAGCAAATTATACCAAACACACTATTAAAGTTCGATGAAATGTTGTTATAGATCTGTTAATGCCTACACCTTTGAGTGACTTAAAACTGAAAGATAGATTCAAGCGTTAATTCATGAAAGGCCACGTAATCACACATTAGGGAAAGCTACTACCATTTTATTTGTAAAACCGTTGCGTACGAAGAGAGTTCATCAATGAGGTGATTTCTATTCTATACTATTATGCAACCTCAGTACAGTATGGATGATAAAAAAAAGCTCTTCACATTCATGTTTTACGTTTTTACTCGTTTATTGTCGTTGCACCTACTCAAACCATGGAGGGTCTCATGAAGTCGTTGTACGCCTTCCATTTCTTCCTGACTTCAAGCAACTTTCAATTGAAGAAATGAATTGACAATTGCTACACACTGCTGAAAACAATTGGCCGGCGGCCACAAGATTATTTGGCCGGCTCATCACCGATTGCATCTCACCTGATGGAATTCCCGACCATTTCAGAGAACGGCCGCAACCTGAAATCTGGATTGACAAGTAACGTTTTTTTCGCACCAAGTTTGTGTCCTCCGTCCATAATAGCCGTATCAATTATAAAGACTTTGATTATGTTTCCATCATCAATAGAATTGTAAATAAAACTAGTCGATCTTCCCCTGCCTGTGATACTATCAAAGGTACTACAGCTACTGTAATTAGCATAACTGCAAGAGTCTAACAACTATGGGTCCTGGGCCCATTGGGTTCACGCAGTGCTGCATTCTCAGTAGTATCTTTCCTTCAACAAATCATATCAATCCATAGTATAGGTCATAACACCGTTAATAGAACAAGCCAAGCACAATTCATTGCTTGGAGCTCGGTAGAAGCTTCTTAATTGCGCGCTTGAGGTAACACCAATTATCATAGTACTGAATAAATGTATCGTAAGACGTCTTCAATCTAAAGGAAAGATTAAAGCTTTTTACTCATATATAATTGCCAAGAGTATGTGGTGGAGACTTGGAGCAAAGTCAGGTAACAAAGGAGGTTTTCGATGATGGTGAAATGGTAACGCGCACTATAGTGCTCTCTTTAGGCTAGAAAAAAACTGAAAACCCCGCAGATAAACAAATTTATCTCAGATAAGCAAGCAGACTATCGTCCTCACCGTAACTACCAGAAGTGCTCGATGAAAATGAATACTAAAGAGTGCTATCATTTGCTAAATAGCATAATCGAGCAGCATTGGGTTATCATAGTTGCAGTACGGAACACTGTGCATGCCTAGCTAGCGACTTCAGCACGACGTCACGTTCAACAACTTGGTCTACCAACGAACATACTGACTCATTTCTAAACAGGAGGTGCACTGAAATGCTTTTTTTGCTGTGAGGCTGTCGTATATCTAAAGAACAATGTATAAAAAATGGCAAACATAATAATATAACAAACATAAAATGATTAGTGAATTGACGCTAAACGATGTACGGCCGTAACGGGGTCACACAAAGTGGTTAGAATTGTAAAAATTATCCCGGGGAAGGCATTTAGTTGGCATTGTTTTCCATGCGTAGTGCTCATTAGGCTCTCTGGAGTCAGGGCTAACTCGAGAATATGGAAAGCCCAGAAGCTCACTTTTGATATCCATTCCAAAGGCGTAGATAATGAATCTTGTCACATTCGTAGATACACGTTTGCTTCCTTAGAAGCTGCAAAAATCTAGCGTAATGGTCGTCTATATCCGACTGCAAGTAGTTTATATGATCTGTTTTCCTTGCATTTTGGACGAAATGATTACAATACTTGCTCCACCCTTTTTTTGCCCGTCTGTAATTGTTATTATCCTTGGATATGAAGCACAAAACACACACGGGCACTCGCACAAACACAAACGTCCCGTACATGGCACGAAAGAACAACGTGGCTAAGCCGACGTCGGCCTGATCCGTTCTGTTGATGACAGACTGATCCTCTTAAAGGCCTTCCTATCACCGCTGAGGTTTCCCATAAATCACCTGACGAAGAGCTGGATTGAATTTTTTTCATAATCCATACCATGTTAGTGTTGGGGTCAAAGCTTTTAGATTACATAGGAAAGCGCGGTGCTCATGTTGGATCTGCTACACAATAAAGAATACATACATTTACAAATAGCATTGTACTACTCACACACGGAAAATGGCTCGCTTTTGCGGTGTACCTTAAAAAAATAATGCTTTCTATATCTTTCTGGGCATTGTTCTGGCACCGTTTACTTCTTTGTGAATGTAGACGTAAGCGCCTTATCGTTTCCACGATCAAGCCAGCCTCAGTCATATTCATATTGTGACTCGTCGTATAGTTCAACGTTTTCGTTGTTTGAAATCATAATGCGATTCTTTTTTTACATAATACGATAATACGGTTCTTTAGTACGATTGTTGCGCAGGTAACACGATTTGAGTTTATCTATGATGAAGTTCACAGACAACTTTCTACGAAAACATTCAGTTTCTCGGCTTGTATCACCTTTGGCACCCTTCGTTTGGAGTACTTCGTTTCAGATGTTAATAAAGTGCGATATATTGTAGAGTTATTATAATTTATTAAGAACACTGCGTTCTAAATCGCGCTTTAGATGCGTTCCAACTGGGCCGCATCTAACTCTGCGAACGAGACACCCTTAAACTTGTTTAACGCGTCGGTTTATGTGCTGTTTTGTTTATAAGCCGGCCTTCGAGACTATGTAGACATTTAGGAATAACAATACTTCCATGGGATGATTGTATAAAGTGCGGTATCTTAAATATCTAAAAATGAGACAGACCTTTTAATAGTCATATGGAAACTAAATCTGTACCTCTATACTCAGTAGACTGCGACGATAAAAAATATTCTTCTTTTTTTTTTTATAGATACAGTAATGAGTAATTTTTTCTACGGCCAACATACCGTTCCTGTGGGAATTTTTCTCAGACGGCAGTAATCGAGGCTCACCAGCCAACCACTAATTGCCCGAACGTGCGTTCCGATCAAGCCGATTACATGAGCTTACTCGCCCTCACGTCGTAATAAATAATCCCTTGGTCATAGCATAATTAATGAACAGCAAAGATACGAAATATCGATTTGGTAGCGCAGTTCTATAAATAGATACATCCAGGAAAAATATTAATAAGAACAAGCATATCAGTATGAATTGTTGCTATTAAATACGATAGGCATAAGCGGACGCTACGTCGACCAAAGTTCGCACATGTTGAAATCCTCTCCAAGGGCGCTTTATGGCTCAGACACCTTTTTAAACTGCCCTCTTCGCAATTATCTATTCTTCTTGGGCTAAAACACCTATATTACTAATCACTTTAAAGACTTCATTAGAATCTTAACAGCTGGAAAATCTCAACAGGCTGCTGTCAACTTTTTTATGCAGGTACCTGCTTACTTCGAATTTCTGCCGAAAATTAGGACGTTATACTCGGAAGCTCGATAAAAACGTAGTAGCATATAAAAAATGATCCTCTCCAATAAAAACAAGAGCAGACCCCATTCACATATTTCCGGTAGTTTTGGATCGGTAAAGTGGTCTGCTCCGTTATCCTCCGGCAATGTTTTTTCAGATAGGGTTTGATTTTTTCATTGAAAACCAATCAAGCACATTTCAGAACCACTATTGAGCAGAAAATTACCATTGCGCGCAAAAAAGACGTTTATTTAGATTTACATATTAATTACATATTAAATGTCATCAGGTCTTCACAGCAATTCGAGTCCAATGGACATCCTTGTCTTGCCAAGGGAACGAACATAAGGTTTTTCGGAAGCTTACGACGGAGAGCTAGCATGTTTGGCTCAGAAGCGCCTGTTAATGTCCTCTTCTGTAAAAGCCTACTGATTCAAGTCGCAAGATTGAAGATAGACATAGTAGTAAGAAAGCTTACAAAATGGTCAGCCATTATTGTTAAAGCAAACAAATAATGCACGCTTTGAGTTCATACGAAATCGGGCGAAAGCTATCACGTTAAGCTTATTACCATTTTTAAAAGCAAGGCTTTCAGCAGAATAACGGATATACCCAGGTGTACCAGCTCATATAACAAGAGCTGTATGAGCTGACACTTCCGTAAACCTCATCAAAATGAACGTTATGATCTCAATAAAAAGCTAAAGCAGTGCTACTATATTTTCAGACGCACACTGTCTTACCAGGACCCTTCAACGCATCTTCACAATGTAAATATACAGTTAGGCCTTTCTCTATTAATTACTACTAATAACTGGCAGCTCATCGGCGAACCACTTCGACTATATGGTGTAGGAGACAAAATGATGCGCCGACAGATTTTTTGCATACCCGCCGTAAAGTCTACGGTGTGGTCCTGCTATTCAAAACAAGGTACAAGGCTTTGAATCAAACTACCCACCTGTTCAAATATTAAATAAATCATAAGTAAAATCATGCGTAATAAGATAAACTAAAAGTTTTTTGGACACAAATAATCTCGCCGGTAAAAATCAGTTTGAGTTCAGTAAAGGGATAAGCGCAACCTAAACATTGCTTTGATTGCATTGGTTGACGGAAGAAAAATACGCATAGAAGGGTACACTGAGATACGGCAGCTTTTCCCTGAGAATATGCTCGACGGCGGAAGAACGGCAGACAAAATATAACCTATGTAAATGCTATCTTCTGGGGCTATCTGCCCTCTTAAAAATAAGACGTCAATTAGTGGAAGAAGAGAAACAGGGCCTTAAAGTATACACAATATGAAATTCTCAAAACTAATATCTAACATACAATAAATAACAACCAATCAAAATAGGTGTTGTTTCTGAGTTCGACAGCGCGTAAAAGATGATTAATCTTACGAAAACCACAAATGGACGGTCGTTCAATGAAGACGTGCACTGAGGACTGGAATCGAAGCTCCTCGACGTGTTGACATAACGCTAGCCCATACTGATAGAATTCTAGCTGTTTTGCAAACCTAATAGTGACTATAAATAACATGACAGCGGAACGTTTGTCGAACGAAGAAGAAAACACGACTAGTTCTCGGTTTGAAGGACGGAGTGTATAATCTGTATCAAGTTTTTATGATGGATACCTTGTTTATCGCACACACTTGAACATAGCTACATTCAAATTTAATTGACTTACGTAATGCAATCTTTAAAATCGAACCCGACTGTGAGTCTTTGTCTTGTTTTGCGTTTTCGAAATATATGTTTCTTTAATTTTGGACATTTATGACTACTTCCCAGCTGGTGTGCAGAAAGAACTGCAAAACTGAGTAATATTATTATTTTGCAGACTGTGGCGAAAGAGCTGCCCGATACTTAATTATCATATCTGTATTATATAATACATATATATTTAGAAGTGCAGTTCTAAAGCTGGGTGAGAATAGTGTTTAGCATACCAGCGTGTTTTTTTTTTAGCGAAAGACCACGAATTGCAAGTTTGAACATTGAACATTTCTTCACGAGAATGCTGTATGTCATACATAATATAAGATCTGTTTCTTTAACCTTTAGTAAGTACGGATCGTCAGGCAAGGCAAAACTTTCGAAGGACTAACCCGCCTGTTGTAACGGTGTCAAAAATAATCATAGCAGCTATTCAAATCGGCCTTGAGAAATTTGTGTAGCCCTGTTCAGGCAGATTGAATATAGGTAGTGTGCCCTGACGAATCGTGAAAGTTACGTACGTAATCGCCTGGAATATAGGCTCGATTTTTATTGTCGATGTATTAATATTGAAGCGCGATAAATTATGTAGTTTCTTAAATGTATGCAACACGCATGGACCTTACTCGAGACAGCAATAGTTGTAGCTAGATCTGTAGAAAGTATTACGACGACTGAATTGGCTTAGGTTGAATTTTGAAATCCTCGTGCAATACACGGCCGACAACACCGAATGACAGGCGCTAGTGATGATATTAGAAACAAAACTGAAATCCGAATCACGCAATTGATTTTCTCTAAGAGTTTCCCGTAAGTGCTTAAGATGTGAGGTAGATTCATTAGTTCTAACCCCTTTGGATAGAAAACGTCGAACGGAGGCCGGATCGCAGAGTGTAGCATGCTTTTTCGTGCAGAGCATAATGTCGACGTAAACAATGAACCGCACAATGTCTGTCTTAAGCCGCCGTTCAATGAGATAGATCAGTCATCCGATGGGATTCTAGGATAATATTCTCTGCAGTTTCTTGTAGATAGTACCTTGCTCTGACTGCAACATAAATATTCAAATCAAGCTAATATATTACGTCACAAACGGATAACTTTGCTTATATTCTTATATAAGAGCAGATCACACTCGACAGAGTTAGAGCATTCTAATGTAATAAAAGAGTTGCTTTACATTGGACAATTCCTGGTGAGAGCACTGTGAGGCTTGGAGGAAAGTAGTCTCTCTTACTCGAAATGCAGCTTCGTCCTAGGTGAGTTTACGAGTTTAGAAATTTTGAAGTTGAGTTTCCTACCGTTTGTGATCTTAGGGACAAGCGTACCATTGGATACGGTTATTGACATATAAGCTTTACACAAGCATCGCCCTTGACGAAGATCTAAATGTCTCGCATATACTTTTAGGGTGAATAGCAAACGCTACGATAGAAGATAGGCTATATATGCACAACCGTACTTATTGGCTAATCGCAGTAGACGCCGGGGTTTACAGATTCATTTTGTTTTTCCAAAAAAATCGAACGTTCAACTTATTTGAAAGGCTTGTTTTGTACCAAAAAGTATTCTTTGAATTTTCCTAGTTGAACTATGAGATTGAACGTATGTTTAGCCATTGCGATCCCCAAGTGTGTCCACCATAAAGCTCTTGCATATATAGATACTAGCTAATGCGCCTCTAGTGAGAGTTCAAGGCTAAAACACGTTGGGACAGTAACAGTCAAGCGAAGCTGGGCAAGAACATGCGAATATAAACTTGATCCAATGAAATTTACTTCGGATTCTACGAAACGAAGTAATAAAAAAAAGCACTCGCATCTAAGCTTCGGAAGATTCAGCGTTGACGAACGGCAAGCTTAGCAACAAACTCGCTGGAGATTTGACTGAACACATTTCCTCCTACAGTAAAGCAAAAACAAAGACAATGCATACGTAGATAATGAATATGGGTACAAATACAAAAGTGATGCACACCTGATCGTCAAGCAAAGATCTGTTCTGTTACTAAAACAGAGAACTGCATCTGTATACGATACATATGATAAGTGGTCAAGATACCTAAGCTTTACTATGGGACAAAGACCCATTTAGCAAATTTGTATCTAGAACAAAAAAATGTTTGCAAAATGTTTTACATTGGGCCGGAATTGCCACCTTTGCCGGTCACGCTTATCCAATGCATCCATCATGTACCGCAACCATTCACTAGTCATTCTCAAAATATCCTTTCCCTAGTAAGGGAATAACTTTTCTAGAATAAGCGTGTACCAAGCAATGTCTCAGTCAGATATTAATATGTACACGTGTCATTCAGATATGCTACTGGAATTAACTGTTGGTCTTATAAGAGATCAAACGCTCCAAAACTGCAACAGTTCGACGGTTGACATTTCCTTCTCCAAGACGGTCGTTATTTCCCCATCAAAAGATCACAAGAAAAAGAAGAAAAAAAAAAACGTACCAAAGATGGTATTTGGAATCATTATAATAAGGCTTTTAGCCTTTTAAATACAAAACTTGTTAAGAATCTTTCGGTTCGCCTCATGAGAATCTTCGTCAGGTCCTTACGATAATACTACTCGGTACATTTGATGGACTGGTATCAGTTGTGCTAGCCCAAACAAATGAATATATCAATTTTCTAGGCCGTATACATGTGTTTGCTTGAAGCGTTTACCGCACAGAATACGGAGCGTAGAGCCAATAACGGTTCATCTTCATCTTGCGCCCATATAGATTAACGCTGTTTCTGGTAAACGGTAGCTAACGTTTTTCTTTTACAGCGAAAAAATGAGCAGGTAGTTTTTTGTGATGTAATATTCTGTACATCTGAATCACACTGCCGGTATATGACCTTCTAACTAGGTCGATAAAACCGTACCTTGCCTATCTGAAGGTAGTATCAGATGCTTTACCTACGCGTTTACTAAACTGTAAAGCTAGCGGGAACGACGTAGATTTCAGGAGGTCAGAGACCTTCTAGACGAAACCTCTTACAAGGCGGGAAAACGAGACAAGAAATGACTGCACACCACTGTTGTTGCGGTCGCAGCGGTGGTGGTAAGAGTTTTTAATGGAAGAACTGTAGTAGGAAATAGCTGCTGTGCGGGGCGCGCGAGTGATCCTTTCCCCGAGGATAACTCTCCGAAGGCGTCCAGAACTGGTTACCAACAGAGAAAACAAAACTGATGAACCGATCCGTTGGCCGGTCAAGCAATCGCAAAACATCTCCAGTCAGCTATCCCTTTTCTTCTCCTTGCTACTTAATTTCTATATATTACTCCTATGACCACGGAGGCGAAGATGACGAAGGAGTATATATGTACTTACATTTTTGTTTCCTCTCCTTCCCTTTTTCTTGCGTCTTATTCGTATCATTCAAAATGACCGCTCTTTCCCTTCGCGCGTGTCCTCTCGTCTCGCCTCGCCTCGCCTCGTTCCAACTGCTGTCCTTCTTCCTTTTTGTCCTCTTCAAACACCTTTAGGTATACATGTATGGACACCCCTCCGCGTCAGCTTTCGCAGGCGTTCTTCTTAACAGTGGGCGCTGTCTTTCGTTCTCATGGCTTCTGCTATCACCGAAACGATACTGACTATCACGAAGGTTTACTTCAGTAGCCGCCTGAAAAATGCTTCCATCACAGATGAGCGAACAACCGAAGGTTACGCACCATGCTATAGAAAATCCACTTGATAAGCTTCTGACACTAGAGATTTAAAAACAGATGCGCTGCTCGAATGATGCTAACAACAGCCCGAACAAATGCATATCGGATTGTTGGGGCATCACTCTCGCTAGATTACGAACCATGTTTTTTGTCCTTTTTTTCTGCATGTCAAACATACTTTGACGACTATTTGCTACTTATTGATCCTCGTGCTACTACTGCTAACTGTGATGTTGGTCTCACCCTAGTCACCTTAATTCGTCTAAATAAACCAAACTTACTTAACATCTGTCTGACACAGTGCCGCGACTCTAAATTTGCTTCCCTACTACGACTAGTTGATCACTGCAATCAATCTCGAGGAAAACAACGATATATACATATGTATATATGTAACTGAGTTTGTACGTCGTGCACAGTTTGTTGGGTCTATTCAAGCTAGTTTTTCAAGTATTTACTGCGATAGCTAAGTTTTATCAATATTATAGACACCTAAGAAAGTTTAAAGAGGCACCTGCATATGAGAAACAGCTACGCATACCTCAACATAGTCAACTAATTTTTACACGTTTTGCATTGACATCCTTTTGAGAAAGTAATGAACGCTTCTCCTTTACAGGAAGGATTTCTTAAGTTTCTGTGATTAAAATCACATACTGCTTGAAATCTGTAGTCAGTACTGAAGCTATTTTCTAGCGAATGTACGAAGGATCACTTAGCCTTTTTACAAACGAGATGGGACGTGTTCTGCATCTGATTAAGATGCGGTAGGTTGTTCTTCTCCCTGATAACCATACCAGTCTCTCTTTATACTCATCCTTGCTCCATCCTAAGACATTTTTTCTCGAGAAAAGCTTCGAAAGGTGCGAATGGTGCTATTTTTAAGGCAACCTATAAGCCTAACAGCTTGTTTTTATGGCGAACTTGGGTGCTCATCAGAAATGTGGCCCTTCGTAACAATTCCATCGGGTTTCAGTTGACGATAGGACCTAGAGCGAATTAAGAAAAAAAAAAAGAAAAGAACTTCCAGCGGCTCTAAGCTTTGTTTAATCAAAAATAACGCCAGCGTTTCACCTGTACGCATACTCTTTTGAACCTACCAAGAAGGGCGCCGTCACGTTTTTTCAATGCATCGAAAAAGGTAGGTCCGTGAACGTGACGGAGCGGGAAGCGCAGAAAGTAGACCTTGTCCCAATGCGGATTTACTGTATAGGGACGGCAAAGACGTTAGCAGGATTGATATATTATTCCTCTCTTTAACTTACACAGTATCTGCTCAGTTGGAAAACTTAAGCATCTCTATATCTAAACGACCACTTGGAGAATCAGGCTGCTCGTAAAGAGATAATGCTTAAATAAAGTAACTGAGGATTCGTGGGCGGTCCCTTAGCACGTTGCCGTAGTCGCTTGGCGTCACGATTTCTATAGATGGTCGCTATAGCTGACATCGTTTAGGCATGATTGAGGAAGGAGGAGATTCCGCCGTAGACAGTGCTAACATTTTAGCTGTATATCAATAAAAAAAAAAACAAATTAGAGGCCAATTATTCGCTAATAGCTTGTCATGTAACACATGGTGAGCATACTGTGTTGATGATATATCAGCTCAAGTAATGCTGTTAATCGCCATGCTGTAGTACTGTTTTTAAACGTGAAAAATGGGTAAACGGTAGAAAAGTTGCTATTGTCATTTCACGACCAACCAAATTAATACTATGTTCTATGGGCGAACCAACGTTACCCGTTCAGCAGCAAAAGCCCCTATCCAATCGGCTTCATTTTCCGTACTACTTTTCCCTGTAACGTACTGACAAACGAATCAATCCAATTTATATTTGGATTTTAATGCTAAGAGGAAGTGTCGTGCTATTTCATTTCGAAGAAGGTAATTGAAAAAAATCGCACTCCTTGCTATTTTTAAAAATATAGAGCAACTCCATCCTTGGTTCTCATTTACTCTTCCCAAAATATTGAGGAGAGTGGTAATTCTCTACCAGTTACTCAAACGCCTTGCTAGTCCCTTTGCAAATTTCAGACGCCTGGACCCTGAGCCTCATTAGACAGAAAGTTCGCAGCAACGGCAATCAAAGGTGCGGAGTAGACGACAGCAGTATCTAGATGTACTGGGCGATATCATCTAGCTGTTACTGCCGCTATTTCCATTTACTCGTGCTCATAGGAACTGACGCGCACACATAAGTGTTTGCCATTTTATTAGCTGGTGCACTCATCGCTGCTTACTACAGTGTAACATATGATTTATCGTCGTTTATATAACGCACCCTGGTAACAATTTCTCCAGCGCTAAGGTGTGCTTTGCGTCTATACAGATAACGTTGCTTTTTTACTGCGTGTTGGGCAGCAATTACATTAAAGCTTTCATAATATCTTATACGAAACTATCAATCATCATAATAAATATAAACAATACAAATTCGATCACAATGAAATCTAGTCCAAATATGAATGCCAGCGGCTGAAGACGCCCATTTTGCTAAAAAAAAAATGTCGTCAACAAGCGTAGCAACTGTGCAGAGGACGTTCGTCAAAATCTTAATATCGACGAGAACCAAGCAGCTGCCATTGCCAATCCCTTTCGGTGCAAACGGAAAAGAAGTGCTAATGGCGCTTAGGGGGGGTGTACTTTTCGCTCCCAAAATGAATGCTCATCAAACATGCTTTGTTTAGAGCGAGTAAAAGTTAAACACAGGACGAGTTTACATCATGTCCCGTAGCAACCACGAACTTACTGAACGCAGACTACGACGTTGCTCTAATAGCAACGTATGTACTCTTATACAAATGTAAGAAGAAGAAGTACATTCAGCGGACGGGAAATCACTTAAAGGTGTGCTAAACTATCTTGACGGTACTTTACAAAAAAGGGTTGTTGGTCCGAAAATGTATGGTGATAGAACTACGATACGTTTGTAAAATTGCCACAGCTGATACGTAAGCAAACATACGTTAAATAACGTATAAATTTTGAGCGAACTGAAGCAAGAGATGACCTGCACATTAAAAAAAAAAAAATACTAACAATTCAAATTCTGGCTTTAATTCCATATACAACGTATGATCTTATCAACCCTTACACACAGCAAGGGATGATAAATCATTATTTTCAATCTAAAAGTGCTTACTACGTTTTCCACCATGTCCATATATAACTGAAGAATCAGTTGTCATACGGTACTCAGAGAATGCCAGTTTCAATTCTAGGCTAAGCTAGAATTTGTGACCGCAGATATTTCTGCGGTTTGTACGTCAATACATAAGAGATGCAAGCGTGTCACTGCTATATTTTCCACTAGAAAATCACTACTCACAACGACGACGACGACGTCGACGTTTGCTCGGTTAGAGGCCCGGCCTTGGCTGAATGCTTAATTTCAGCGAGTTTTGCCCACCTAACTTGATTTATAGAAAGATCGACGCAAAAGAGGATGACGCTGCTGTTATTGAGGCGCTGACAAAGGATCTCAATTTTTCATGACAAAATAACACTAACATACGTTACCCTTTACAAAAGAAGGGACAACGGCAGGGTTGTCTCATGATAAACGGCATTTGAGGCGAATTGACTATAACTGGTTCTAATAGCAACGAGGTTCGCACGAGATATTTGCACGGAAACCGTTTCTCTAGGGTCACGATAGAACAAGCGTTACCACTAGTAAAACATTCGTCGTTCCGAGTTATGTAGTAATTCGGTCAGTCATCTTATAGATCCCAGTAATTAAAATCTTTTGGAGAAAAATGCGTTAGATGTAGCAGGTTCAGAGGTGCGCCGGCCGCGACAAAACGCGCCAATCAAACCACGCTAATTAGAAATCAACAAAAGAAGGACGACGACGTAGCTCAAGGGTAACTACCAAATACCAACAAAGGCGACGGCGACGACAACGACAACGACGGCGCTTTAACGCAATCGACGGGTTGGTTGCCTCTGCTGATTAATAGCTATGACACGCATAGTATCACATTAAAGTACAATTCGAGGAAAAGGAAAGTCCTGGGCAGTAGTTACTTCAACTTCCGTGTACCAACGCCGTCGATGGCGAGCTCCACCATCATCCTCTCTAAGCATTAGATAATCAAGCGAAAGTTAGTGAGTTTCTCATTAGTCTTGACGGGAGCTTCACTCACCAACTACAAGCTGCTGCTGCTGCTGATGCTGAGATGAAGCCCAATGAACGAGTAAAAATACAGAAAGCAACTTTTGAGAACATACGTCTTTATTCTTTAGTCGACAAAGACAAAACATATCGACGGTTGTCGTATAAATTATCGCGATAACTAACTTTGTAAGATACTGTCTCTGGCTTCGCAAAAACCGAACAGCTTTTTATGACCTCCCAGAGTACGAAAACTCAAATAGACCTCTCTACAGAGTTGAAAGAATTAATTGAAAATGGATTTTGAATGAATAAAGCAATCAATCAGATCGCATGCAACAACCAGCATTAGCTTCTCTGTTTTGCCTTTCCATTTATCTGTTAATCTGAAGCTTCACTTGTCGCCGCTAAATTTTCACACCATCCACTTAAATCCTACCCCGCCTAACTTGGTCGTCCACATTTACGAAGGCGTGAGTGACTTTTCAAGATGCTTCATCTCAGCAAAGGTTTCGTATATTAGACGAGTATTAAGCCACAACAGTCTCATTTCAGTACGTTCTTCAAAACGATAATGCCATGGCGCGCGCTTCACACTTTGCAATTATTACAGATTTACATGCGATCGCCTACACGTAACGCTAATAGACGCTAAAGCGTTTCAAACGATCGAAGCGAAGAGTGCGTACCAAATGGTTATAAAGCTTGGAGGATCCTTGCGTAGCAAACAAGTCAAAATACATCCTCGACCAGTTTAATTGGGAAGTTCGGACGTAGTCGCCGCGTTCGAGTGTTCAACAAACGCACTCTATTAAAAATTCATTATTTCAAAAACAATACTGTGCGATTGTTGTTTGTAGTAAGCATAAGCGGCCCGCCCATAAATTCTGTTCACTTAAGATGAGACTTATCCTTTAGGTACACAAATTGGCTGTTATAATAGTTAATCTTAACTTACAGATAGTGTAAAATGAATCAGTCATGCTATTATTATGACTTCCTAAAGAGTGCGCCATGAACGAAATACAGATCAACAGCGTCTTACGCAATCACGAACATTACGCTTTTTGAAAATGTCCTAGCGTGCAATAAGTTGCCCTTTAACTTTCCGAGTAACTTTCCTTGAATAGTAAATTTTTCGGCGCAATTCTAGCGAAGACTCTGTTGGGGTGTTAATAATGAAAAAAACACGTTCCACGGACGACCATGATCGAACGAACGGAAACAAAGCACTCACCATTATTGACTTTGTCAATTGCGTCCACTAATGAATAGCTAGTGACAACACTGCTTCCAGCCAAAATTGTACAAGTAAAACAAGATGGCGTAGGAAAATTGAGGCTTTTGCAACAAATAGAATTCATCTCATACTTGTTTTCGAAATATCTGTAGTAGTACGCTTTGTTCAAAAATATAAACGACCACTTTTACAGCGGTGCAGCAAATACTGGAAAGCAAAAACAGAGGAACTTGTTTCGTATACGAAAAAAAAACAATTTATTAAAACAGCATAATACTCTTATTATTGACAAGTTGAATAACGGCAACGAATGTGCTAACTATCGGAACGTATAGAGTCGCCATTTTCTATATTTAACAGAAAAGTGCAATATTTTGGTAATAGTCAGCTTTCAAGGTTTATTGCCTATCGATTTTTTTATTTACTAGCGCGTCATAATGAACAATGTAGACTACGTTGACCTATTTCGTCCTAAACGTTTTTTTCTGGCCAAGTGTACCGACCGAATATGCGTGGTGCAGTTTATTAAGTTTATTCATTAAGTTTTATAGCAATTAAGCTATAATTAGTATAATAACAGGTTTGTTTGAGCAGTGTATACGATTTGATTACGTATAACGGTACACCCGCGCCCCTCGCCGTCATAAGAGTCGCGCGAAACACTATTACAAGGCGATTTTTCTGTGTGTAGCGCAGGACCAAGCGCTTTGTCGTTAAGCGACAGGGACAGTCCAGTTGGCATTACAGGTACAAGCTCTAAACTGCACACTATCGCACTGATACATCTATCAAGGCGGAGTCACTCCAAACAGTTGACGGTTTTTGTGA